TCTTGGAAGCTTCTTGGGCCGTCTTGGGGCGGTCTTGGGCGCCTCTTGGGCCGTCCTGTAACGTCGGAAAGCCCAAAAGGCGACTTTGTTGAAAATGTACGTTTTACGAAGGGAATGGGCCAATTTTTGCGTCTAGGGGCCCTCTTGGGACGCATGTTGGAGGCTTCTTGGGGCCTCTTGGGGGCGTCCTTGGACGTCTGGGGTCTCCTGGGGCCTCTTGAGGGGCCTCCTGGGGGCCTCCTGGCGGCCTCTTGGGGCGGAAGGCTCGAGCTTGCGGTTCGTGGTCCCCCTCTGGGCCCCCTCTTGGGCCCGTCTTGGGGCCCTCTTGGGCCATCTTGGGCGCCTCTTGGGCCGTCTTGGGGCCCTCTTGGGCTGTCCTGGGGCACTCTTGGGAGCTTCTTGGGCCGTCTTGGGGCGGTCTTGGGCGCCTCTTGGGCCGTCCTGTAATGTCGGAAAGCCCAAAAAGCAACTTTGTGAAAAATGTACGTTTTACGATGGGAATGGGCCAATTTTTGCGTCTAGGGGCCCTCTTGGGACGCATGTTGGAGGCTTCTTGGGGCCTCTTGGGGGGCGTCCTTGGACGTCTGGAGGCCATCTTCAGCATCTCGGAGCCCTCTTGGAGGCCTCTCGGAAGTTTCTTGGGCCGTCTTGGGCGTTTCTGGGGCCGTCTTGTCTGACCGGGGAGGCCTCCGGCAAGCCCCGACCAGCCTCCGAAGCCCCCGGGGTGCACATTTGCGGTCGAGGTCCCGGCCCCGGGCCCCCGGACCCGGTGCGCCGTTATATGTATATATATATATATATACACGTATATTATTTTTCTTTTCTGAAGACGGTCGCCCAACTGCGTGCTTCCAGCCGTCCCTGATTTACCGACTCCCCCGCTGATCGTTCCTGGATGGGCTTGAGGGGATACTTTTTGGTGTGCAGGCGCGCGAGCAGGGTCGGACGCCGGGCAAGCAAGGGCAGGTTGTGCCTCCTGCGACAGGGAAAACAAAGCAACGAGCGACGCCCGGTGCGGAGCGAGACTCAGCGCGGCTAGAATTTCGCGAAATGGCGGAGCGGCACCAAGAACGCGATGTAAGTGCCGAGGAAGCCGAGCAGTGAACCCGGCGAAGATGTAGTGAAGCCCGCGTCGCACAAGGATGGCGGTGACGGGAAGCCAAGTGCCCCACGTAGCCTTCCCGAACACGCGGGCCTTGACGGCGGCGAGAGATGAACCAAGCGCCCCTCTTACCCAAACAGGTGGAGACGCGGGCGGCGATCCATCGCCCCGCGAACTTGCCGAACAGTTAGGACTTTCGAAGAGGACTGGACGATGCTGAGAGGTAAACGACCTCGAGGCCCCGAGAGGGCGATGTCCAACTCCGCGTAGAGGAGGACCAGAAAAAATACCGTCAGAGAGCGCCCGCACGATGTAGACAGGCGCACGAGGACATAAACATCAAAGGCGCGACCCCTTCGCGTAGGTGTAAGCGGCCAGCGATGCCCCAGAGCGGGAAGCATGCGGAAACGGTCAAGCAACGCGACCAGCCGTCAGGGCGCCCCGCGCGCCGAGGCCCGGAGGCAGTGCAATGACCGGCACGACGAAGCGGTGCAAGAGTGCGGAGCGCCACCGCTGCGGGTACCGCGAGCGTGGAGCGGCGGGCGGCCAGCGATGCGGCAGACGGCCCGCAAGAACTTCGCCAGGCTAGATCAAGGACGCCTTGAGCGGGGGGGAACCCTGCCGGGGTCAGAAGTAGGTCCCTCTCGAACCCAGCCGCCGTGAACCCTTGCGGCCATCGCGAGGTGGAGGAAACGAAAGGGGGGCCCCGCGACCGCCAGCGCGCCAGCCGTCAGCCTGATCCAGCGGCGGGTCCAGCGGTTCATATGAGGCCTACCGGACGGTTCCCCACGCCGAGACGTAGGACAGGCGGCTGATCGCGGCAAATGCGTAGAACACGGGGAGTGGGAACGGCAGCTGGTCGCTGCAAATGCATAGAGAAAGGGTGCAATGATTACCTCAGGCAGAGACGCACCCCAGGCGATGCCCAGCCCCCGCCAACGGGGGCAGGCACCGAGGAAGCAGGTGCAGGTGGACCCCAGGCGAGGAGAAGGGGAGGGAGGAGGGCGGGAGGAGACGGCAGCTGTTCGCTGCAAATGCAAGACCGCGAAACCCCAGGCAGGACTTGTGGTGGGAGGTGCAGTGGGATGTGGCAGAGCGTGCAGTCGAGGGGGGCCTACTGACAGTGCCTTGTGTCTGTGAGGGGCCCATCCCAGCCATGGCTGCGCTTGCCCTGCTTGCCACTGCGTGCGTCAGAGGCGTCCTTGTCTTGTCCCTTGCCTGATCACCTTGCGCTGCCCCAGTCGTTCGTCATGTGCTCCTGTCGTGTGTGCTCAAAGTTGGCGTTGGGCCTGGGATGGTGGCTGAGTGTGTAGGCATCGTAGCCAGTGTCGCCAGGCGTCCAGAAATTCATCGCAGGCGTCCTGGGTCTGCACATATGGATCCTTCGGAGCGAATCCAGGGCGTAATTCGCGCCGCTTTGCCCACCGGTGGCAGACGTCGTTGAAAGTGGCACAAAGCTCTGTTTGCATCCTTTTGTGTGTTGTTGCAAACAATGAAGTTTTCGGGCCGTGGTCCTCTCTCCTCCTCCCCCCTCCGCCGTCTGTTATGTGGTCGGTGGGCGGGGAGGGCGGGGGCGACGCAAAGTCAGGTGGCGCCGTTCTGACATAACACGTTATGTTTGTGTTCTCCGCTCAAGTTCTTTGGCTCGAGCATGCCCGCAGGGGTTCCTGCGGCCTCGCCCGAGCACTTCTTCCTTTGCTCACCGCGCGGCAGCAGTGCGGGCGATTCCGACAGTTCGGGCTGCTCTTCGTGGGAGCTGGTCGAGCTGGAGTGCTACGACGAGGGGCAGGTGCCGGACCTGCCGGTAAGTGCGCTGCAGAGCGCCGACGAGACGGCTCGCTTCGGGTGCTGGCCGTTCGGTCTCCTGGTGTGGTCGCTCTTCTCTTTGGTGAGTGATCCTATCGTGGAGCAGGATTCTGCGGACGAGTTCGAGGGTCTCGAGCTACAGATGCCAGTGGAGCCATGGTCTCGCCGCTTCTACCGCCAGAGTGCGACCGACGGTGTGGAGGTGCAGTTGGTGCGTCGCAAAAGTGGCAACGTGTGGGCCGTCATCGGTCCGGACTTGACGTTGGGCCTGATCTGTATCACGGCGAAGACGTCCATCTTCACGGACCCAGTGGCGGGGATTCGGTGGCGGCCGATGCCACCTCTTTCTGCAGCCCAGAGGGACGCCTACGTCAGCCAGGCAACGGAGGGATTGAAGGCGTCGACAGTGCCGACGTGGCCGCTGTATCGCCCCGGCAAGGGTGGTCAGCAGGCGATCGCGGTGAACGTCCTGTATGCCGTTTTCAGCTCGGGGGCTTCGTCACTCAAGACGCTGAGGTGGTCTTTGAGGAGTCCCAAGCGTTTCCTGGGTGTGCTGGCCGCGTTGTTCATATTGTACGAGCTGCTGGTGTTGCTGGGCGTGATCGAGTATATGAAGGAGGTCTGGGTGTACACGATCAGCTACCTGGCCACGGCCAAGGATGCGTTCGTGGAGAGCTCGGAGGTCGTCCAGGAGTGGGCCACCTACTTGTGGGAGTGGAAGGAGTGGGCCCAGAAGCTGATGCCTCTTCAGCGTTGGTTTGCGATGTTCTTGGCCCTGATCCTTCTGACCATCTGGGCGGCTCACGAGTGGTCGGACAGCGTGGAGTATGGAGAATCCTCGATTGGGTCATCAAGCGCTTCGAGTGTGGATGTGCCCGTTGCTGCTACTGCTTCGGTGCCTCCGCCCTTGCCGCCGCCTGGCTACCTTTCAAGCGGAGAGAGTGCCGCGCTGGCGAGCCAGCTGAACGATCTCGTGGAGTCCCAGAAGGCCATGATGGAGGAGATCAGCGAGATCAGGACCGCCGAGAGGACGAGGGAGCTACGTCGGGATGTACTCGAAGCTTCTCTGGACTCACGGGGTCGTGCGGACGCCGAGGCCAACAAGCAGGTGATCGAGGGCATGATTGCGCGGCTGGACCAGTTCGAGGCTCGTCTGAAGGGCGAGGCGCCTGCGGAGGCGGGAGCTGGCGAACGTGGTGCTGCTATCGAGGGGGCGAGTTCTTCGGCTTCGGCGGTCGCCGTGCTCGGGTCGCCCACGAAGAGTGCACCCACGGCGTTGATGGAGACGCCCGAGAAGCGAGCTGCCACTTCGCAGCCGGAGGCCGTCGAGCTGGCCATCAAGCGGATGCGCTTCAAGGCTCAGTTGCCGCAGCAGGTGTTCATGGAGCAGCTGGACGAGTACAAGGAGATCGAGCCCGAGGAGTGGAACAGCCGCATGCCCGAGGGCTACCGCCAGCGGATCTCGGCCGAGGTGCTGTCAGAGATCTACTCGTCGGGCAAGACGGCCGAGGCCTGGGCGCGGGACTTCATCAGGGACCGCGGGCTGAGCGATTGCAACACGGCTCGGGAGATGATCGCGGCCTTCGCCGCGGTGGACACGATGCTGATGACCGATCGTCAGAGGGGACTCCTCAACCTGGTGAGCTTCGAGCGGTTGGTGCGAAAGGGCTACGCCATTGTGGGGGCGTACCGCAACGTGAACTGCCGCGACGACTGGAGCCGCCCCAAGGATGCCAAGAACTGGAAGTCGAAGGTGGACTGGGAGGCGGCACGTCGCTTGGACCCCCAGCTCGCCGACGAGAGCACCATTCGGGTGATGAGCGCCGAGGAAGAGATGAAGAAGGCCATGGGTCGCGACGCGCAGCTGATGAAGGCGCGCTCCGACCTGGACGGAGGCGCGGTGGCCCCGCCGTGAGAGTCAAGGAACTTCAATCGGGGCTACCCGGTTTCGAGCCGGGGGGCCCTTGCAGCCGGCGTCGTGGTGTCCCTGCGCGTCGGCTTGTTTTGGCTAGTGTATTCTTTCTGCTGCAGCTGACTCGCATCATCGCTGTCGGCTGGCCCGTGAGCTTTTGCACGACGAATTTGGGTTTTCATGTCTCGGCGGCGGGACATCCTGTCCGAGGTGGTGCTGTTCGCTCGCCCGGAGCGCCCCGCTTCGACTTCTCGTCGGGTGCTGTCGCGCTGGAAGGAGGAGATGGAGCTGGTGGAGACGGCGAATCGTTCTCTCTTGGCCTTGCGTCAGCTCTACCGCGGGAGTCTGGACGACAGTCTACTGGGCCTGGCCGACTGCTGGGGCCAGGGGATCGTGCCCGACAACCTGGACGGGGACCTCTCTCGGCGGGTGCTGGGAGAAGTTCGTCGCCAGTCGCCGCCTTCGACTACACCCTCACAAGGAGCCGCACTCTTGCGGCTGCGCCCTGCTGCCTCGGCGGCGGGCCATCAGTCCCAGTCCACCTTCAAACAGAGGGTGGCCGAACTTCGGAGGAGGAGTGCTGGCGGAAGTGGACGGCTGCCGGACAGGGGCGAGACGTTTCCAGCTCAATGGGATCGAGTCGCTCTACCTCCTCCGGGGACCAGACCTGTGAGTGTGAGGTCTGTGTCGCCTCGCGTGGCACAGAAGTTGGAGATGTTCAAGGAGGAGATGTTGAGAGAGGATGGCGAGGCTTGTGTTCAGGCCTGCGAGATTCGCAACTACGTGGACCCGCATTTCCGCAAGAAGAAGGAAATGTTGCAGCTGGCCCGACGGATGACTTTGGCGGGGATGTTGTGCCGCACCGCAGTGAAGGTGGACGAGGTCGGGCTCTTTTGCGTCGTGAAGAAGGCGGAGCTGGTGGGGAGCGAGCCCGAGGTGACCCTGAGGCTAGTGTTCGACCAGAGGCGCTCCAACATGCGGTGGCGGTCTCCCCCGTGGTGTGCCATGGGCGGCGTCAGTGCGATGTCGTTTCTGGACGTGTCCGAGGAGATGAAGGAGGATGGCGTGACCATGTGCTTCGGCACGGGCGACCTCCCCGACTTCTACTACACGCTGGAGCTGGGGGAGGAGCTGGCGCCGTACTTCGTGCTGCCCGGCGTTTCTGGGGATGCGCTGGACGCTCTGCTTCCCGAAGGTTCGTCTCTGCCTGGGAGTGGGCCCTACGTCGGGGTGAAGGTCGCTCTGATGGGCTTCTCCTGGGCGTGCTGGATGGCTCAGACGACTATGGAGGACATCTTCAATACTGGGCCCCAGTTCGGTCTTTCTTCGCTTTCAGGCGACCAACGTTTGGCCGAAGGCGGACCGCTGCCCCATCTCGGTCGGGATCTGCCTGCTGCGCACTACGAGTACATCGACGATTTCGGCATCATGGGCCTGGACTTCCCGACACGACCTGGCCAGGAGGCGGGGATGACGGTGGAGGAGATCTGGCTCGGTGCCAAGGAGTTGGTGGTGTCCGCGGGGTTCAAGGTGCACAAGGATGCTTGTGCGGCGGACGCCCGCATGATTGGTGGCGATCTTCGGGGAACTCGTCTGGCGCCGAACCAGGACAAGATGTGGTTGGCGGTCTTCGGGATACGGGAGATCCTGATCCACAAGTGGGAACTACCCGATACCGTCGCACGGATCGTCGGCATATTGTCCTGGGGGTTCCTGATCTGCCGTGGTGCTTTGAGCGTCTTCGCGGACGTGTACGCGTGGTGCATGGAGTTCCGAGGTGGAGCTCGGCGCGAGGTTCCACGGGAAGTGCGGAGGGAGTTGGCTGCGGCTGCGGCTTTGGTGCCGCTGATCTCGGTGGACCTCTCGACGCCCTGGGACCCGATAGTGACGATGTTCGATGCGAGCCTCTACGGTGGTGCGCTCATCTCTACGGTGGCAACGGTGGAGGAGCAGCGTCGAGAAGCACGATATGCAGTTCGAGGAGGGTGGACCGTCTGGACGGGCATCTCCTCGTCCTGGGCTGCGGACGCCTGGTGCGAGGGGGAGGCCTTCAGACGCGTGGGTACCGACGTGGAGTTGGGTACCCGGATCCGCGTTCCACCTGTGCACGAGTGTTGGGGCGACATCGCTCGGTGGAAGGAGATTGTGCGCTGGCGCTGGGAGGAAAAGGAGCACATCAACTTGCTGGAGATGCGCACGGGGGTGGCCGCGGCGAGGCACTCGGCCCGCACCCGGGCGAGCTGGGGGAAGAGGCACTTACGCATCACGGACTCGATGGTTTGCCTCGGCGGCTTCAGCAAGGGCAGATCGGCCAGCCGGCCCATTCTGATCTTGTGCAGGAGAATGGCCGCCCTCGACCTCGGGTGCGGCATGCGGGAGTACTGGCGCTGGGTGCCGTCGGACCGCAACCACAGCGACGGGCCGAGCCGAGGTTTCCCGATTGGGCAGGCACCGAAGGAGCGGAGGACGGGCGAGCTGGTGTTGCCGGAGAAGGTGGCTTCGAGGATCGAGGCCCTGGCGGACTTGGCGGAGGTGGACCCCTTCCAGCCGCTCAGGATGGGCGTCTCGATCCCGGTGAAGGTGCGGCGCTTCGTCCACCTCTGCAGTGGCCACACGAGCATCGGGGACCTGGAGGACTGGCTGCTCAGGATCGCGGGGTCGCGAGGCTACCTGATGATCTGCACCAACGTGGACATCGGCTTCGGGGCGGAGTTCGACCTGACGGACGAGGTCAACGTGCGGAGGCTGGAGCTGCTGGCGGAAGTGGAGACGGACGGGGGACACTCAGGCCCTCCATGCTCTACCTGGTCGCGGGTTCGCTTCCAGCCTGGAGGCCCCCCCCCGCTACGACTGCGAGATCAGCTGTGGGGTCGGCCGGGTCTTCGAGGGGACGACGCAAAGAAGGTGAAGCTTGGGAACGCGCAGTTGCTGAGCAGCTTGAGGATCCTGAAGGCGATCGGGCTCAAGGGAGGCTCGGTCTCCATCGAGCATCCTGCCGATCCGGGTTGTCCGCCGTTTCAATCGATCTTCGTGACCAAGGAGCTTGTGGACTGGGAGGCCCGGGTGGGTGCCTACCGAGTGACCTTCCCGCAGTGCATGTGGGGCTGCCCCGCGCTGAAGCTGACGACGCTCACGGGGACGGCCTTCGGGATGCAGCGGTTTGTTCGTCCCTGCGTGCACGAGAACCACTCGGCGAGCCTCTGTGGCAAGGACGAGAGCGGTCGTTTTCGGACAAGGGTGGCCCAGGCGTACCCGTCCGACTTCTGCAGGATGTTGGCGGAGTGCCACGTGGACGCAATGCTGACCATGCAGGAGAGACGGGAGGCCGACCTGACCGAGAGGGCCGTGGAGCAATTGATTTCAGAGACCCTGTAGCGCAGGCGCCGGGACGCTACGTTGCTGGAATCATTACCTGCAGCTTTCCTTCGAGCCTCGGGTTGACTGGGTACGGAAGCCCATGTGCGATGGGGCGGCCCCCGCCCATGCCCGACGATGTTCGAGGGCAAGCGGTGCAAGATTATGCAGACATGATGCAAGATCTACATGATTGGGCGCAGCAGTGGTTCAGCGACCTCACGCAGCGGGCCACCGACGGTACCGAGTGGCAGGAGTGGTGCGTGGCCTTCCTGACGGACGTACTTCTCAGCGGCCCCAATCAGGCTTTGAGGCGCCTACTCGTCACCGGGCTACCTCGCCACACGATCACCGACATCATCAGAGATCTTTGCAGCAGCACCTGGAGGGCGACGCAAGATCAAAGGGATCGCTTTGTTGCGAGTTTTCGAGAAGCGACTCCGACGGAGAGACAACGGCTACAACAGGAACACTGGACGGAGCTGGAAGATCTTCGTGCGATGTTTCGGGTTCGACTTGGTGACCAGGCGCCTGACCATCGACGATCGCCTCGTCTCGGGGAGTCCGACGTGGATGATGAGCAGCCGTCGGCCGGGACCGCTTGCCGGTCCAGTTGCCCGCGGTGGTCCGTGCTCCTGGGTTGGCTGCTGCTGCCCTTTCTATCGGACGCCGTCGGTGAAGAGAGGCTACGGCACCACGCTCAGCACCACAAGATGGGCAACACCCACCGCAGGAACGACGCGGAGGGCGCGCACCCACAGGGGGTGCCACGGCGGGAGAGAACCACCTATGGGCTGGCATTGCTGCCGTTCTCGGTCTCCACTAAGACGGCGCTGGGCTGCTACGTGCCCAACGTGCGCCGCTTCCTAAACTTCGCGCTGGAGGTGAACCTGCCGATGATGAGCCGAGAGGAGATCGACGACTCCGTTCTTTGCTACTTGGACCGCCTGGTCGAGGATGAGGAGGTGGGTCCGCATCGAGGAGATTTCGTTGTGCATGGGCTTGCCTACGTGTGGCCCGAGCTCTCGACGGGGTTGCCGAGGTCCAATCGAGCTCTTCGAGCTTGGCATCGACTTCACGTTGCGGGAGAAGGGGGACCCCAGCCCCTCGAGCTCTGGGCCGTGCTGGACGAGGCCATGAGGCTGGCCGGGAGCGTGGAGGCCGCCGACGCCGCCGAGGTCGCCCTGGACGCCTACCTCAGGTCCGCGGAGCTGTTCGCCTTGCGGGCGGCCGACATCGTGGTCGACGTGGACGAGGCGGGCGAGCAGATTGTGGCTCTACGACTCGGGGTGACCGAGCGAGGTGAGAGGACCAAGACGGGCGTGAGGCAGGGCGTGCTGATCGACCGTCGGCATGTGAGTGACATGCTTGTGCGCAGGAAGTCCGAGCGAGACCCCTCGGACCGAGTCTTCAGCTGCTCGGTGGACGCCTACCGCCGGGCGCTGAGGCGAGCCTGCGACGACGTCGGTGTCAAGCACTTCCCGCCCCATGCTGCCAGGCACTCGGGGCCGAGCCACGACGCGGCGACGGGCTACAGGACGGTGTGGGCCATCCAGCGGCGCGGGCGGTGGGCTTCAGAGAAGAGCGTGCTCAGGTATATGAAGACGCACGCCCTGGTGGCCGCCCGCGCCGCGCTCCCGCCAGACATCCTGGAGCGCGGGAGCCGCCTGAGGCCCAAGAAGAGTGGTCGCCCTGAAAAGGCTCGTGAGTGACCCATTTCGTGTTGCGAATGATCTACGGAGTTTTTTGGAGCTCTGCCGAGGCTGTGAATGTGTGACGGCTGTGAGAGGCGCCCGAACCCTCCCACCCAGCCCAGGCGCCGCCACAGCCAGGCGCTAATGCAAACTATGCGGTGGTGTGGGACCTGATACGGGGTCTGCTTCCAATCTCTGTGATTTTTTGGTGGGGCAGACCCCGCCGTCACCTTCTGCCGCCGCTCTCGGCGGCATCGTGTCCACGGTTCAGGCAGAAAATAGAGAGTTCAGTTTAGGCTGGCGCCACCTTCCGCCGCCCCCCGCTTGGAGAGAGACAGTGACCCGTGCCTCTAAATGTGTGTTGTTGCAAACAATGAAGTTTTCGGGCCGTGGTCCTCTCTCCTCCTCCCCCCTCCCCCGTCTGTTAAGTGGTCGGTGGGCGGGGAGGGCGGGGGCGGCGCAAAGTCAGGTGGCGCCGTTCTGACATAACACGTTATGTTTGTGTTCTCCGCTCAAGTTCTCCCTCCCTTCCTTCCCTTCTTTCGCTCCCCGTTCACTTACCTCGTCACAGCTCTGAGGGGACCTGATACGGGGTCTGCTTCCAATCTCTGTGATTTTTTGGTGGGGCAGACCCCGCCGTCACCTTCTGCCGCCGCTCTCGGCGGCATCGTGTCCACGGTTCAGGCAGAAAATAGAGAGTTCAGTTTAGGCTGGCGCCACCTTCCGCCGCCCCCCGCTTGGAGAGAGACAGTGACCCGTGCCTCTAAATGATCCTTTTGATGAAATTGCGGCTCTCTTCAACCTTGTCCTGTGCTTCCACCAGGTGCGTGGGCGTCTTGTACATCTGACTGCCGTCGTGAGCGCGGCGGTCAGCTGGCGTGAGTGGGTTGGCTGCTTTGTCGCGCCATTGGCCTCGAACCCACCTACCGGCGGCTTTGCTGCTCCGCGCGGTACTCGACCAGCTGGATCCGTACGTGCGCGCATCGTCTTGTGCGTTCCAGCCGGAGGTGTAGCTGGCTCACCTGCTGTTGGCGGGGCTGTGCGTGCGTGTCCCACTTCGCTGATCCTGGTCGTAGGGGCTCCATGCAGGTCGGTCGCGTCCCTTCCCGCGGCCCTCTCTGGGCGTCCAGGCTGTCCTGTGCTGCGTCGCTGTTGCCACTTGTGTTCTCCAGGAGTCGGGGGGTGACAGCGGCTTCCTTGTGTGGGCGGGGTCGTGGTAGCTGCTGGCCGACCCAGCGGCGCGGAGAGTCACAGCGCGAGCAGGGGAACTCCCGCTAGCCACCTCTTCAATGGGTACAGGTGGTGCGGGGGTTTCCGCGTCTGCTGAAGGCTCAAGACTCTTCTGTGGCACCTTGGTCTCCGCGCCCCAACCCCAGTCGGGAGACTCCTCATCTGGGTGAGCCCGTGCTGCGTCGTAGCCTGTGTTGGCAGCAATGTCCGCGTTCGGCTTCGTAGCCTGATCAGGCTCTGCGTCTTCCCCAGGCGCGCGATGGGAAGGTGGAAATCCCCCTTGGACACCAATTGCTGTTTCCGTCGTCGCCCCCTCATCCGCTCTGGCCTGGGCGCTGGGTGGAGGGGCCGTGTGTGACGGCTTGGCCGTGCCGCTCGACGCTGCTGTCGGGTCTGCGCTGCTTGCGTCCGTCTCCCATTGCATCGCAGCGTCATCCGGGAGCAGGTCGGGGTCAATGCTTGCGAGCCAGTCGACGAGCGTGTTAGTGCAATGATGAGCGGGGTCGGTGTCTTCGAGTGGTGCGTCTCTTTGGGCGTAGAGCTGCCAGGTGTGCCTTGACAAGGGTTCCTGTGCGAGACGGCGCGCCAGGCGGACAGCAGCCAAGCGCTTACCATCCCAGGCGACGCCGCGTGGGACTCCGTCGTCGGTAAAGGTATTGGTGAAGAGCGTCCGGATGAATGTACAGGCGAACTTGTCCCCAGGCATCGTCGCTCCAACCGTCCGGTTTGGGGCCTTCCTGGGCTGCGAAGTCGATCCAGGCGTCGTCGGTAGCTGGGTCGAGGCAGCGGACATGCCTCGCCAGTTGCAGGGGAGAGACCACTGCAATCTCGCGCTTGTCACTCGCTGCTTCTATGAAGGCCTCCACCTCTCTGTGACCGACGCGTGGGCACGGGGGATGTCGAGGATGTGGTTGCGTCGACTGCTGTCTGAGCCGTCTGGCTTGGGGACGTGGGGTGGTGTCGTTTCCCCAGGCTGGTCCTTGTCCTCGTCCTGCCTTGCAGCAGTACGTGCACGGCCAAACTCGCCCCGCAGGCCGTTGTCAGCTGGTGGGGATATATATTTTTTGTCCCGGCCGCAAGCGAAGGCGCAGGCGGCGTCGCAGGTCGACCCGGGCCACGGGCGGAGCTTAATTAAACAACGAAATAAATATATTTTTCTTTTGTCAGCGGCCGCAGCCGAGCACGCCAGCGGCGAGTCCAGTCAGAACGGGGCGCGCAAAGACGAATTAACCTAAACGAAATAAAGATATATTTTTTTTCGGTCGCGGCCGCGCCACAGCGGTCAGTCGGCGAGAAGCAAAATCCGCGGCAGGCGGCGCGATGCGAATGTGCGAACACCGCCGCCACGTTGGCAAGCCGGTTCGCACATGCACAGCAAGTGCGCAGTTGCACATGCACAGAACAAAATGAACTAAATGCACAAACAAACGCACATAGGCGCCGCAGAATGAACCGAAGTGGACAAGCAGCAGAGAGTGCGAATGCAGCGGAGTGAGTCGCCGGTACGGCGCCAAACTCCAGGCCACCAGCCCAGCTGGTTGGGGAACTTTGACCGGGGAAGCCGGGCAGGGCGCGGTAGAAAACACGAGGCAACGCGAGCGCGGAAGGCCGAACCACTCAGCGCCCAGTCCTCGGAATCCTCCGCCCAGCCGGGGGGGGCCAGCGGCAACCAAAGCGCATCGAGTCCGGCGCCTGCGGTGGATAGGCCCAAGGGTGGACGAGACGATGCGCGGGGGGAACCACAGGCTGTACAGTGGCTGCACCACTCAGTGCCAGGCCCTCCGGAGCACAACTCCCAGTGCCAGGTGGAAGCCAGCGACTGCCCAAGCGCCACTGTGCCGTCCTGCCGCGAAGGTCCGACGGGGTGCAGAACTGCCGACATTTGCTGAGGGTCGGCCCGTGGGGTGGAGACTTCAGCGCTGCCTGCCAGAGGGGTCCTTCTGACGTGGCCACCGCGGCCGCCGCGGGCGAGCCCCGAGGGCGCGGGTGGGGGGCGCCCGCGGGGCCGGAGGGGGCGGCGGGAGACGCGACGTCCCTCGCCGCGGTCAGCCCGCAGCAGAGCCGGGGGGCGTCTGCCCGGGGGTGGATGCAACCCGC